TGTGTGTGTGTGTGTGTGTGTGTGTGTGTGTGTGTGTGTGTGTGTTCAATTTGGGTCATCAATTAAAATTTTTAATGCAAATCTATTGACACTCATTTAACTCGAACATATTTAATGTAATATTTCTCTTCAAGGTTTCATTTTTGAATTTTGCCATTTTTCACCACATCTGTATTATTTTCTCCAATTCTTTATTAAACATAAAATTTTACCTACAAAATACAATATAACATAAATTAAGTAGAACTTTATCCAAAAGATAATAAAATATCATGATTTAGGGCCTCGAATAAGTGTATTACTTATCATAGATGTGCTGCTATCTAATTCATATATCCCAGATGCTCTCGGTGGTACCACTCTCTCTGATGAAAACATTGAATGTGTAGTGGCAATTAACTCAAATAAATTCATGGTTTGTTATACTGATTTTCCTATGATCGATCCACCAGCAGAGAAATCCATCCGAGATTTTGACAATGGTGAGAGTTCGGTGTAGAACTACTGCACTTGATTACCTATTGTGATTTTATGATTTGGACACTTCTCATCAACTCTTTGACTCTGTTTCATGCCTCGTTATAGCTCTCTCCATCTTTCTGTTGGAAAGTTTGAATTTCTAATCGAATTTTAGCTACTTTCGTCGATGGGAATAATTTGTTGCAGAATACTAGTCAGTTTCTTTCCATGTAGTAATGCTTCCATGAGGATTGGAGTCTAACCACTCCAATGCAGCATCTCTCAGTGTATATGGAAATAATCGTAACTTAATAGCGTCCTCATTAATCCCCAGAATATGGAAGTTCTGACAATTTCTGAGAAATCTGGAGATATGTGTTTTGATTTTCATGAGGTAGCACATAGTATTGGAGAGTGTTGCTCACCAAATTGATCACTCTACCCTTATCTGAAAATTATTTACCCCGCAATCTGGATATACAATACTGGAGCGTACAAGCGCGATTATGGGAGTCAAGAACATTGAAATCGACAAGTCTCCTTAATTTATTTCCCTATGCTCCTACTGTTGATCTGATGGTGCCGCTACTTATCCAATTGACTGAATAGGAATATGAATATTTTGATCGTCAGTCATTTGATATTGCTGTTTTTGTTTGTATTCATTGCATCTTCGTTTGAAAGTACGTTCTATTTCCGAATCAAATGGTTCAAGATCGTTGCTTTCGATATAGAGCATACAACGAACATCTTTTTTCTGTAAATAAAAGAAAATAAAAAAATAAATAGCAATTAAAACTAAAATAAAATAAGACTAAAAGTAAATAGTCCCCGGCAAAGGCGTAAAAAAACTTGTTGGTTTTTTTTTTTTTAATATCGCAAGTATACTATATCGTAACAAGCAGTATAGTGGACATTTAAGTCTGGATATGATTCCCACGAGGACTAAATTTAAGGATTTAATCTAATTTTTTTAACTCTTATTTGATAAAAGCAAGTAAAGAATTAAGATAGTTGTGATTATTATTATTTTTCAATTACTTTTAACTACTTGAAAATATCAATTTTTGCAAACAACGGTTGATTGAAGATTCAAATATGATATAAATATCAAGGCATAACAATTTCATCTATTAATCACCTTAATTCTTAATTCAAGATTCATAACATAATGTAGTGTTCGATCGAATTCTTCTATTGTATTCAATTTACCTCTCTCGACCTCTCATTGAGCCTATTTAACTAATTAAATTCCATATCTCTATGTGAATCAATTTTAATTAAACGAAATACTAGTTCTAAGAATTCATATTATGACCATAATAATTAGTATATGTATCTCTACACGTTATACTATTTTACCATATGGTCTAAATCTCAAACTCACCTCTCGATTCGTAAGAGACTCGCATAATCATCAAATTAGTGATCAATTAATTGAATGCATAAAACTCATAGTAAAATCAACG